ACTTCTCGGACGAGCCGCAGCATGTGCTCGATGCGTATGGCCCTGACGTGACGAAGCGGGGAACGTACGCGTACAACTGCTTGCTCGCACGACGCCTGGCCGAACGAGACGTTCGCTTCGTGCAGCTGTTTCACATGGGTTGGGATCAGCACTTCACATTGCCGAAGCAATTGCCTGGTCAGTGCCGCGATACCGACCAGCCGACCAAGGCGTTGGTGAACGACTTGAAGCAGCGAGGCATGCTGGAAGATACGCTGGTCGTCTGGGGTGGCGAGTTCGGCCGGACTTCGTACTGCCAAGGAACGCTCAACGCACAGACATACGGCCGAGATCATCATCCACGTTGTTTCTCACTTTGGATGACAGGGGCCGGGATCAAACGTGGTTTCACGTACGGCAAGACCGACGACGTTTGCTACAACGTGGTCGAAAACCCGATGCACGTCCATGACTTGCACGCGACGATGCTCCACCTGCTGGGAATCGACCACGAGAAATTGACGTACCGCTTTCAGGGACGGTACTTCCGACTGACCGACGTGCATGGCCATGTGGTGAAGGACATTTTGTCCTAACGCATTGCCAAGTCGGAAAAGTCGATTTCTGGGAAGATAACCTGAGCGTTTCTTCCGGCTCGAAAGGGAAAATGCCCTTTCCGAATGCTGCGCGATAGAGCACAATTACTACAGGCGGCCATCTTGGCTTTTTGTAGGAATTTGTTGTGGCATCGAAGTCGGTCAAAACCGCGGAATCGTCGAATATTTCTGGCGAGCAGGCGTTCGTGGGCGTGTTCGATTTGTTCAAAATCGGCATCGGGCCTTCCAGTTCGCACAGCGTCGGACCGATGCGCGCGGCCGAGATGTTCCTGCAATCGCTGGCCGATTCAGACCAGATCCGTGATGTTCAGCGTGTGCAAGTCGACTTGTACGGTTCATTAGCACTGACCGGTATTGGGCACGCCACCGATATCGCCGTTCTGATGGGGCTTCAAGGAGAAGTGCCGGATCAGATTGAACCGGAAACGGTCGCGGAAAAGCTGAAAGTCATTCGCGAGCAGCATCAACTTCTCTTCGCAGGCCAGCGGAATATTCCGTTTACCGAGAAAGAAGATCTACTCTTTCATCGCAAGACCTTCCAGGCAGGGCACCCCAACACGCTGAAGTTTTCGGCGTTTGCTTCGCCGGACGATTCGCAGCCCCTTTTGGAGGAAACGTA